AAGAGTTTGGAAAAGATCCCCCTGGCCAGGCAAGGGTGGAGCTGGAGAGAATAAGCACAGGGGCAGGTGCTGCATGTCATGACTTTAATGTGTAACTACAGTATGCATACATACAAGAAGTGGGAGAACTAAAGCCCAAGAACTAGAAAGGCTACAAAATACAACACATGGACCAATACTTTACAAAACATTCAAAATCCTTACAAAATGGGCTGTATTGGTCCTTTGAGGTTGGGGGTTTTTTTTGTTTTGGTTTTTCCCCCCCCCCCTTTTTTTTTTTTTTTTTTTTTTTATAAATTTTTTTTTTTTACAAACTTATACTGTGTGCTCACGGAGCGGTCGGGGGGAGGCGGTGGGAAAAAGGTTTAGATTGAACCCCCCTCCCACCTTCCAAAATTTACAAGTGTCAAAGAAAAAAAAAGAGAAAAAAAAAACAGGAAAAAAAAAAAAAGCTATAGGCCTGGTCTCTGGTTTCTTTACTAAAAAGAGCTGACCCTCTCCCAAGGGCCTGAGGTGTATATTTTTCCAACAGAAAGGAGGCATTCTCTGGCTGCCACTCCACTTGCTTTCTGTCAGCATTTCAGAGGGGGGGAAAAGCAACACCAAACCCTAAACACCCCTCCCTCACCCCTCCCATACTCCGTAGTATTCCCATATTCCAAACACAGCCACCTTTTCTTTTTTTTTTTTTTCTCTTTTTTCTTTTTTTTTTTTTGTAAAAACAACTTAGTGATTTAAAGGTCCCCCATCCACATAAAGAAAAATAAGTTACATAATATTATAACTGGCTTTTCAATATTCTTTGGGAGTCTGGGAATGTCAGGACAAGGAGGTCTGCCCCAGACAAGTGCTTGGCATCAGCAGCTGCCCCTTTATTACAAGCTGGACAGGCACCAGTTACCCACCTGCCTTTTACACAATTTTGCACAAACCCAAAAGTCCAGACAAAACGTTTTCTGTTCCTTGTATTTACACTAGTTCAAAATGATATTCACAGCATCTTCTGAATTTTGGCCAAAAGTCAAGGAAAAAAAAAAAAACAAAACAACAAAACAACAAAACTTTTTTTGTTTCGAACTTTGGAACTTGCCCACATAAGACTTTCAACCCAGGGTCTGTCGCATTTAAACCCGATCGAAGGGGGCTGGGAAGGTCAGGAGGAGCCTTACAGTCTTTCTTCTGTCAGATCGATGGGACGGGGACCTCCAGGCTGGCGCGGCGGCAACGCGAGATGGGGCTCACCTAACTGGCACCAGTCCCTTCCATGACTTGCTGGGCCTGCTTCTGCCCCATGCAGCACTGTGCAACCGACTGGAACAACCTGAGCACGGGGAGCAAAGCGGGGTTAGGTGCCTTCGCGGCAGCGAACAGGGCTTTTGGGATGAACAGGTTGGTTTAGTGATTTTTTTTTGTTTGTTTGTTTTGTTTTGTTTTGGTGTGGTTATGTTCAACTCACTTTTCAATTTCTGGAGCGCAGTGAACGAACTCGTGGTTCCAGAACTTAAAGGCTGGATTTTTGATCAGCTCGATGAAAGTAATAAGGAGCCCCCAGGGGTGAGGTCTATTTACAATCAGTCGTTCCAAGAGAACCCTGAAATAAAAAAAAAAGGAAGAACCTGTTAAGAGCCCCAAGAACCAAAAGACACGAGGAAAGAATCACAGAGTTGTCAGGGTTGGAAGGGACCTCAAAGATCATCTCATTCCAACTCCCCCACCATGGGCAGGGACATCCCCCACGAGCTCAGGCTGCCCAGAGCCCCATCCAGCCTGGCCTGAAAAACTCCCAGGGATGGGGCTGCCACCCCCTCTCTGGGCAACCTGTGCCAGGGTCTCCCCACCCTCCTGGAGAAGAACTTCTTCCTCACGTCCCATCTGAACCGACCCATCTCCGGCTTCAATCCATTCCCTCTAGTCCTGTCACTGCCCGACATCCTCACAAGCCCCTCCCCAGCTTTCTTGTAGCCCCCTTGAGATCCTGGAAGGTAAAAAGCTGGTGAGAGAGAACCCTTCCCTCTCACCTCGTGATCTGCTCCTGGATGGCCTCGGTGTTGGCCTCTGCGAACAGGTAGAGCATGGTGCAGCTGAAGTAGTGGGTGTGACTGTTGGGGTATCGCAGCTGGTTGGCAATTGCGTTCAAGAAAAGGTACCGGCCTGCAGGAGGAGGAAATGGTGAGTGCAGAGGGTTTCCTTTACGGATAAAGGAATAAAGAAGCAACTAATACTGTGAAAGATTAAGGTTTGTGAAGGTACAAAAACCAAAAGCAAGTGAAGATACACCCAAGCTGTGAGAATTCAACCCCCTTCCATTAAACTGATTTCTCATTCTCTTGAACAATCCCTCAAACTTTTGGTTTTAATATTGCTCCTGCATTCAGAGTTGAATATTCTAGCAGGGCATTACTTACTTCATTAGCGGCTACCTGAAAGGATCTCCTGCATTTCCTGTAGCTCAAACTGACAACCTGCTGTTACATCCCAAGACTTACAAGCGTTTCCAGCTCACCTTCAGTGTCCAGGTCTACCGCCAAATTCTGGAAGATGTCCATGTGAGCCGAGTGGGTGATGGTGCTCATGGAGGGCGTGCTACCTTTGTTGTGGATGTGCGCAATAGCTTGGGTACCTACGTAGAGCACCAGTGCGTTGATCAGCTGGATGTTGTAGCGGTTGCCGGGTTCATTCGATACCTAATAGCAAAGATAGGAAAAGCATCAACATGTTGTATTCCTCCGGCCACAGAAAGGACAGAATGTACAACAGCAGCATCCAAGCAGCTTCTTGATTATACGGCAGGCTGCACGCTCAAACATCTGCAAATTCAATCAGCATTTGCCCTTTTGCAATATTACAGGGTTTTTTTTTTATATATGTATTTATATATTATATATAAAATGCATCACCAAAGTGTTGACAGACCCAACAGAGAAATTTTGTACTCCCTACCTAAAATAAATAAAATATAAAATGAGGTAAAGGCAATTTGGTTTCACCTACGGGTGCCAGAGGCTGGCGGAAATGCACAGTCCTCTGCAGATGCTGAGCAATCTTCTGAGAAAGTCCAGTTTCACTCCTGAAGCCTGTTGCAAGAAGCCACGTGATGTTTGGAATGCAGTTGGCTTTAGCTAATTTGC